GTGTCTAACAAATCTAACTCTAACTGGATGTTATATTTCGAAATGTCTACGTTGTTAGTAATGTCTGCGAAAATTGATTCAATTTGGTGGTAGTTACGAATGCTTTGGTGCTGCTGGTACCACCCCATTAATTACCTTACAGACGAAAGTAAGACGGAGGTCCCGTCGACGTTCTTGGAGAAGTGAATGGTTTAGGCTCTTGAACCTCTTTTATACATGGCCCCCTGTCCTCAATATATATTTCATTTTGATGAAATATACAGCTTCCTCAAATACTCACGTATGCATTATGATATGTTTGACCCTGCACGTGCGTATGTACAGGTGACCTCGACATACCCTACCCGTAAGTAACTTTTCTGAAGGAACCGATACATAAAGCCGCGGAAAATGGTGTCAAAAGACTTATTATCAACGTTTTGCTTGATCATTGGTTTGTGGATGTCTATTCGCTGAGTGAATGGCACGGTAAGTGGAAGATAAATAATTAAAATCGCCGTTCTGACTTTCCATGAGTCGCGATAGATTTAATCAATGTGTTTTGAGGCGGTTGAAGTGTGGCGGGGTACATTGGGACACGAGGCTAAGTTGCCAACCATTATATGTAAAGACGTTAAACACGACGTGTCATATCGTAATCACACACTGAATTATTTACAATTTATTATTTATTCGCGATAGGTTGGTAAATGGCATTATTCTGCCATCGATATTACGACTTACAAGTTACCTATGTCGATATAATTCCTTAAAAATGTCGACATAATCTGAGACAATTGTGTTGAGATAATTATCTCGTATGTAGGCTTATAATGCTAGCGAGTGACATCGAATCGCCACTTACATATCAAGTTTATATTACAGACAAAAAAGTATAAAATGAGCCATATTGGTACATGGACCTCATAAGTATAAGCAATAAGATCATCACATGAAGGGGTTTTCTTCGGAAATGACGTGGCACTATCATTGTTCTTGTTTGAAAGCATGGAAACGAAGAAAAGCCAAGAAACCTACTCACGCGATAATGATCTCGACAAAATTATCTAGGATAATGCGGTTGTACATCAATATCATAGACCTTCCAAGATTGGCCACATATGTTACGGTAATAGTATCCAGGCACGCAGCACATTGATAAACTTTGTGTAGCAAGACAAAGGCAAAGAAATTCTTTTGTCGAAGTGCTTTTATTTCGTCTGGTGCCAAAAGCTGCATAGGAACAGTGTTGTGTATAACACGGTTCAGGATAAAGCAAGAGCGGGACACTAAACAATGGTGAGATAGTCAGTCATGGTCTTCAAAGGAGAGACTGGTATCCTTGAGATTCAGACAGATAAAGTGAATGATGATGTAGTCACAGATATTTGTTTAAAACTCATAGTGCTGAAACCTCTGGTGGTTGCTGTGACCATAAGGCATTGTGTTATCCAATGAGCAACCAGGGAGTCTATCGATGGGATGATTTGATGACAAGCGTGCACAGAGTATCTGCTATTGCTGAGTAGACAATCACAGTAATCGCTGGAACCTGTTCTGTGAGGAGAATCTGACAGCCGACAGAGAGTGATAATACATCACACAAGCTATACAGGCATACCAGTTTGTACACAAATATATATATATATATATAAAACGGTATAAATTGCATATTATCAGACCCATTAACGGACGTTTCTGATAATGCAACATCTGTCTAGGTACATGGCATACAGCACACATTTATATCAAAGAACCATTCGAATCTTCAATTCTGCAGTATCATCAATATTTTTTGCGGTGTATTGGGTATCTTACAAAGTCCGTGCTTTTCTGGAATATTGATTGGATCTTATATATAATCAAATTTATTTGTATACCTGCCGAAAAGACTTAACAGTCTTAAGTAGACTCATCGAGTATAATCTAATTTTAAAACTTGAGCGAAACAAATGAAAGTTCTAAGATATCTACCGTTACATCAAATACGTCTACAGTATAATCACTATCGTGAAATATATTCTGGTCTGTTAGTATTTCTTTTTTCAAATGTACAGGGCATCCTTAAATGATAGCAAATAATTTGTTTTAAGTCCAGAAAAAAATGAATCTCAAAACTATTTTTAACCGTAGACAAATGTTGACAATGTAATATCAAAGTGTTTTAAACTAGAAACAAATATTCTCTCATAGTTCATTGGTGCATCCTGGTTTTGCTTGGAGAAAAAAGCTGTCTTATCTAACGTAGGGCAGGACAACTGACACGTGATACATGCTGAAAAATCACAACTGCCCCATAACGTTATGATGAGTAACTAGGATCGCGCCATCAATTTTATCAAATATTTAATGCGCGATTGCTTATGGCACGATGCTTTAGGTTCACCAATCCAATTGACAAAAAGTAGGAGAAAGATAACTGATTATAAGTGTGTAATGCAGACAGTAATCCGTCGGGATAGGTTTTGTTTGATGATTAACACTTTTCAAAGTCTCATCCTAAACTTACAAAGTCCTTCACCCTCGGGTTTAGATTGTTCTGGCTATTGACAATGGTAAATATGTTTTTACATCGCGGTGTATAGGGAATGACACTTTCAACATATTTAACGTTAAGTGTAAAATTTACTTTTGGTCCATTCCTCCTTTTTTTATTTAGAACCAAATTATGTGACGTTATATGGGCGACAAATGAACCATTGGTGCCGCAACGTGATATGGGTGGTACATGTAGTTAGGGAGATTATATTCCTTAGGAAATGTTTGGTCATAAAGTGTTATTACATTTTGTAGCCTGTTCCCTTTGGCGAAATTTCGGAAACAGAGGACGGAAAATCCATTGAAAAGTCGCTATATGAAGAAAAATTGTATAATCAGAGACTGGTAAAGAATACCTTTAAGGCAATGCAAAAAATGGGATGGTTTGTCTCATTTTTTTTCTTCTTTGCCCATTAATTTCAATAAAGAAACCTACGCCAACCCGCCTATCAATAACAGTTAGCTGCATATCCCTAGATTTGCCAGCCATAGCGACAGGACAACCTGAATTGACGTGCTTGATATGGTTACCTCCCTCAGTAAGAATCCCAGCTGATCGATATACCATACGTTTATTAACCCCCTTAATGGGAGTAGTTAGTAGTACAATTGTCTCATATTCCATAATTTCATACAGAATAACCTAGCTATAGTGTCGCATTTTTCCAGCAAAACTTTCGACACTGTGGAATATTTTGTGACATAAACAGGGAGCTATCTAAAGGCAAGATCTTGAATATGGTGGATGATAATAATCGGAAGTGCGTCATAAAACTGTAGTACTGCCAGCGAAGTGACGGACGTAATGTGAAATACCTTGCGTGTCACAAGACTGCACACGTTAAAGGATACTTAAGCATTGAACTGTTTTTGTATGGTATTTATGATATCCAACTATTGTTACCAAACAATGCGGGCCTAGAATGTGAAGCTAAAATTTGCATGGGTGGGATGGTGGGACAAAGAAATTCCGAGCAATAATTTCACCTTGTAAATTTTATGTTGATATCACATGACGTTAATCTGGATATCTGATTGGCTGATTGCCTTGACATAATTAGTATGGGTGTGCTCGATTTACTTCGAACCGTATGACCCTGATTCTTTCAGCTTCACATCTTACCCGTAATTATATAGACGATTAAAACATATAATATTCCGATGTACAACATAAATATATTTATTGGTATAAATTGTATTTATGCTATAAATATCAATCACGATCATCCGATCACGACTGAAGCTAGTTTTTTGGATAAATATACATCAAGAACAACAAAGAATAAAATATGTCCAGTAAATGTCATTATTTTTTTTAAATGACGAATAACATGGCAGACATGGATAACAACAATGTCAACCATGTTGCATAAACATATTTACAAACATAAACAATATCTTAAATATATATCAAAAAGGTGGAGCACGAGAATACGTCACAGGACTGGAATGATGTTAACAAACATCGCTCCAGACCAGCGCCACCCGAAGTCGTGTCCGAGATAGATTGTGACATTATGGGAAAATTAACCAAAACCTATACTGAAGGTTTTACAAAGAAACTTAAGGAAAATGTGTACAGGTACTAATCATGATCATGCTGTGACATAGTAGGTGTGTATATATATGCACCCTATGACACGATCATTCTAGATCTTATCACTTTTATGTAGTGAGCAGCCTTCTGCTGGCCTCAGCTACGATACATGCATTATCATAATTAGAAAAAGAAAAAAAAGAAAAAATAATAATAAAAACACAACAAAACGAACCTCTCACACACCGGGATCCATCCACAACATAATTGAACCCTGTACGCCACTATCTTGCTAAAGAAAGTGGAGCTCAGATTGAGGACTAAATACCAGAGCAGGCAAATCCTGTCCTCTGAGTAACAATTAATCCCTCACTAACCCATTAATCAATTATCAGAGCAGACAAATTCTGACCTCTGGAGTTATTTCCCAAAAATGATCTTGTTGATCTAAGCAGACACATTCTGACCTTAAAGCTCTATATGGTTGTTCCCATGATTACTTTTGCAGATTTCGGAGCAGACAAATTCTGACCTCTGTTATGTTATTTTCCCCATTGAGTCTTACGGTGATCTAAGCAGACACATTCTGACCTTAGAGCTAAATGTGAAATGTTCCAACAATTAATTGTTCAGTGGTTAGAGCAGACAAATTCTGAACTCTTGGAGTTATGTTTTTTCCAACATTTTATCTGGGTTACCAGGTATCTAAGCAGACAAATTCTGACCTTAGAGTTACATGTGTATAGAACATTGTTTTCACAAATTTTCCTTGCAATGATTAGAGCAGACAAATTCTGGCCTCAGCATAATAATTATCAAAACATCGGAGCAGGCAGATCCTGACCTCTGTGTGATGATTGGCTATATCATATCAGAGCAGGCAAAGAGTCAGCCCTCTGAGTAATGATTTCCCAAAACCAGACCTCATTAGGGCAATTATGACAATTTACATGTTAAATGCATTGATACGGATGTATCGTTGAACAGCATTGGAATTCCAACGACCCATTCGTTGGATAACACTTTCCGAATAGCCCATTTTGGCTGCTTCTGTTGCAGCTCCGATCCGAAAGCTGTGACCCTTAAATAAAGTTGGGTCAAGCCCCACAAAAGAGATTACCTCAGTGAGTCGTTGTGTAACAAACACATATGTGACAGGCAGCCCATTGGCCATTTGAAAGAAAGGGCCATCTGTATGTGAATATACACTAAGGTATTGCTTCACAGCTCTGACTGGACAGTACAACAGAGCCCCATCCTTTGCCACAAGATGAAGTGAAATAGGTTGGTGATCTGTGTTATGCTTAAAGTGACGCAGAACCATATCAACTGCTGGACCCTGCTCATCTGATTCTGCTATAGAGACATCTGAACGTTGGAGGACTTTATCTGCATCCGAGTAGGATTTACACACCAGTTCTCCTAGGCGCATAAATGCATTGAATGCCAGCAGGAAAAGTGTGCGTAACAGGAGTCTGATTCGTGGGTCGCTCACAACGAAATTCAATGCATTCACAATTCTATACAAAATGTCTTTGGTAATAGGAAGTCTGGAGTCACTGACTCCTTTCATTTTTTGACACCCTTTTAGCATTTTCCTTATGAGAAAGGAATGAGTCATGTCTTCTAGACCTAGTATCTTATGGTCATAACTAATTGCTGAAACATGGGTGGCAATGGTGGCAGGACTGTATTTGTTGCTGAATAAATGAGCAACAAAGTTGCCAACCACGTCAACAGATAAGGGTAATTTGATGCTGCTAGGCTGTAAGAACTGTTCAAGCAATTGCCAACTACGAAGATAAGAAACTTTAGTCCTGTCTGCTGTAGCTGCAGAAAGTAGTCGCAATGCCTGTGCGCTTAGAGCATTTGTAGGTTGATGGGTACTACCGTTGGATGATTGTTGAGCCATGGTGCTCGTCTGCGTGCTTCCTGGAATTTAAAACGAGAAAGGCTATCAACTATAACATTTTGTTTTCCAGGCACGTGGGCCGATTTGAAATATATGTTATACCGTAATGCAGTGACCACTAAGCGACGTACAAGCTTCATAAGGGTTGGTTCACGGCAGGACTGTTTGTTGATAACTTCTACCACTGCCATATTATCAGACATAAATACGACTCTTTTGTTTTGTAATTGCTCTCCCCAAAGTTCTAATGCTAGTACAATGGGAAACAATTCTTTGATTGTAATCTGAAATGTAGCCATGGAGCTTGTCCAGGGCTTGGAAAACCACTGACTTCCAAAAACTCCTGCGTTATCGAGACTACCTGATGCATCTGTATACATTTTGAGATGTTCAGAATTCAGCCATATGTCATTTAGGAACACAGACTTTCCATTGAAGCCGTCTAAAAAAGTAGACCAGGCCCTCATGTCTGCACGCGCTTCCATATTCAACCTGATAAAATGTGATGGATTATTTGTTTTAGTTGTTAAGTCGTTCAGGCGTCGCAGAAATGCACGACCTGGACAGACAACAGTACAGGCAAAGTTTAATAGTCCTATTAAGGACTGAAGCTCCTTTAGCAACACTTTTTTCCTGGTTTTCATGTTTTGTAGAGCCTGCCTCATTTTCACCAATTTCTCCAATGGCAGCCTACATTCCATTTTGATGTAATCTACTTCCAGACCATAAATTGTGATAATAGTGGTAGGTCCTTCTGTTTTGTCTGCTTTAATAGGGACCCCTAACCTACCACACAAGGATAAGAATGACTGAAGATCCTGTTTGCATTTAGGATTGTCTGGGGGGCCCACAAATAGGAAATCATCCAGAATGTGGGACATACCTACTGCTTTGTATTTTGTCATCATAATCCATTGTAAAGCAGAGCTAAACAATTCAAATATCTTACAGGAGCTGCTAGCTCCCATGGGTAGACAACAATCGTAATAAATTTTGTCTTCCCAGGTAAAACCTAACAGAGGGTAATCTTTAGGATGTATTGGTATAATACGGAAAGCATCTTCAAAGTCTGTCTTTGCCAATAAACAACCTGTTCCGAAACTTTTTACGAGGGAAATAACTGTGTCAATTGTATCATAAGTGACTTTGGATTTTCCTTTGGAAATTCCTGCATTGATTGAATTTCCCTCTGGATATGACAAATCATGTATAAGTCTGAACTTCCCGGGGACAGATTTTGGATTAAGGCCCAAGGGAGAGCAAACAAAAGGCTTAAAAGGGGGTTTTGTAAATGGTCCCGGAATTCTATTCATTTGCATTTCCTTTTGAATTTTTTCCGATACTGCCATCATATTATCTCTGACTGATTTGTGATTTTTAGAATATAAATTAGCACGCCCTCCTTCATAACCAATGGAAAAACCATGTTGAAAGCCTGATAAAAGGGTTGCAGTTGAAGAACTGTCATACCCAACTAGTTCTGATTTGAGAACCTCATGATGAACTGGTGTTGGAAGGTTGGTGACTGGTCTGTTTGTTTGCTGGGTAACCGGTGGTACCATGTTTGGCCTTGAAACATTTTGCTTTGGTGTGGTTGCCAAAACAGATCTGACACAGGTGTTTGTATTTACATGGGGATGCTGTGCATCCCTCTGTTGTAGGCAAAGCAGACCTTTTGACGAGGTGCTCGTTGCACATTTTGTGGCCGCTTTGCTGTTTGCTGCTGTTGGACACGAAAAGACCGCTGGTTAGCTGCTTTAGTGTATAGCTCATCTATTGGCTTTTGCCAGGGAGGTCGATGAGCTTGTCTGAGACGACGAAATGTTTCGTCATAATGTCTCCATGCCACATCACCGTGATTGCTTGCAAGGTCGCGGATTGTCGCAGCATGCTTCAATAGGTTTGCTGCTTCTTCTGGGGATTTTATTATATAAATTGCAATAAAGGTGTTGAAGCATGTTGTCCATTGATCTATGGACAGTTGCTGCTTCTGGGTTTGTCCCTGACTTATGTTGAGGGAACCAGCTGAAATATGTACAGAGACTGGCTCCTCTGTATATGTTGGGAGCAACACTTTCATGTCTATGAACTCTTCTCCCCATATTTTATTTCTAAGTCTATCAGATACCCCAGCACCTAAAGGGATTCCTGCTGACAGATCAATGTAGGAACTGTTTGTTTTTGTGGATGGATCCGTACACTCACCCTTGCTCCCGAACAGATTCTCTAACAATGACATCACTGGGGAACCACTGTTCATGTCCTTGTTTTGACCCACCAATGGCAAATGATTGGGGCCTATGGGGTTGGTCTGGCAGGTAGGGGGTTGATCAACTGCGGTTGGAAGCACCGCTGTAGCCATTGCTGGTTCCCTTGTAGGTACAGCCTCCTCCACAGTGTGTTTGTCCATGGCCAGAGGATCAAGAGCGGCTCGCTGACTTGGTGCCATTTGCCTCCACATTGCTGCTGCCAACTTGTCATAGTCTATGTCAAATGTTTGCACTTCCTGAGACTGGGAGTGGGACCCACTGGTCTTAGAACTGGATGGAGTGGCTCTTCGTCTTTTTGGGCCACTGACATTTGTGTCCCCTATAGCAGGTACAGTGACTGATGAGACTCTCTTTTTGTTTTTGGGAGCCATGACAGGTTTATGTTTGTTTTCTGAAAAAGGATTAAGAGAACCAAAAATCTTGAAACATGTCCTGTGGTACCTACTTTTGTCAATCATGTACACGCATAATTAATAGGGTACACCAATTAAGTCCATAATGATATTCATGTACTGTGTATACGTATATGTACTGGACAAGATAATTGTATGGTGAAGCCTCAATTATACCACAAGACATTAATGCAAGTGATATGCTACTGTTCAGAGCACTGTACAAATTAAATTGTGTATTATGATTACAATAACACGGATCAGACTATAACAATTAACCTGACATGGTGTACATGCAAGTTCCAATACATACACGTATTATAACTAGTAAGTGGTGTTAGGTGAGTATTATGCGTATTGGCATGGTGTAGTATAACTGTATACTATACAACAAAAGATGAATTAACAAAATGAAAAATTGAAAGATGAGTACTAGGACAGTTGACTGACCAGATAATGTAAATCTATACTCAAGAATATAAGCAACGTAATAGTGTACGTTGATGAAATAAATAAATACAAAGACCCCTATGGGGTAAAATCGTACATCAAACACATCTACAGTGTAATACTGTACACCGATAAAACAAATAATGTGTAGAATTGACCAGATGGTATAATACTGTATACCGAACTAAGACAGTGTAATACTGTACACTGATGAAATAGTGTGTTGCACTAGTACTGTTGACCAGATGCATGTCTGAGTTGGTATAATACTGTATACCAAACCATTATAGTGTAATACTGTACACTGAACAAATAAAATTGCTGACATTAGAACCATTAGCTATGTGGTATAAATACACATAGAATAAATCTAGTGTATTACTTTCGCACTGATGAAATAAATAGTGTATAACACTAAATAAACATGGGTAATGTTGCCCAGAGGGTATAGTACTGTATAAACAAACACTTACAGTGTAATACTATACACTGTTGATATAAATATATTGTAAAACTGTTGTAAAAACACTGGAACTGTTTTCAGGATGGTGTAATACTGTACACCCAACTATAACATAGTACAGTGTAGTACTGTACAATTACCAAATGAACAGTGAACATAACACTTGACTATTGGTGAATTTATATGTGTGAGCCATGTGCACTGGCATTTTTGACCAGATGATGAAGAAATTGTACATCAGATAAATTTAAGTGTATCACTGTACATTGGTGAAGTAACATGTAAATATATACATCCAATAGTCTAGGGAAGGTCATTAAGAAATTGAATGGTGTAACTCTAGATCTGTCCATGCATTAAATACAAAATGATGGTTTATTGGGGTGAGTTACATTTGTACAATGTACAAGTAATTGTGTAAATTCATCCCAGGTATAGAGATATATATCTGCACACATGCACCCATGCTACTGACAAAGTGGTGTATATCATGAACAGTATACAGATCTAGAGAGATGGACATGTCTGTAACTGTATATGGAACCCCTGTCAACATAAATTAAATGTTGAAGTAACCTGGCCCGTGGGTGTCATATTGTACTTCAGGCCATAACTATATATCTAGGAAATATTGCATTATATTACTCCAGCAGACATACCAATACCTAGTGCCTGCATATATTAGGAATTTAGGAATGTATCAAACTATTCCCTGGTTATAACCTGGACATGCACTGTGTTACATACATGTATAGTACACTTACAATGGTGGTATATACATGTATACTGGTAGTTTAACTGGGCAGATCCAGAGTTAGTGTACTATACAATACATTGCGAAACACAATGACATAAAATCAGTGCATAATACTATGCTTTAGATAGCACATCATACCTGGTTCCAGCTGCTTGTCAGTCAATAGTCTTCGCAACTGTTAAGATAGCAGCCTTGACGCTCTGGGGGTATTTCCTCTGTGCCTGGGCATGCAGATGGAACCCGTCCACATTCAGAAAAGATAAGTTCTTTTTCCAAAACCCTCTATGTCTCCAAAATGTGATTTGGCGACTACACTGTGCACCTTCCGACAACAACAGATTTGTCCTTACAACCTTGTCGTTGTATAAATCACTTTTGGTGGCTTCAGGGGACCGCCAAAATAATTGTCCAACCACTACGTGTATTGCTCGGTTTACCTTTAGAATATGTTCGACAATGTCAAAAATACTGTGGGCTACCTGATATGGAGAAAGGGTAGATAAATCATTACCCCCGATTTGGAGAAACACTAAGTCTGTATGATTGAACGACAGGAGTTCAGCTTGCTGTCTGAGTTTGTGCACAGTTTGGCTGATTGTCTTGACATAATTAGTATGGGTGTGCTCGATTTACTTCGAACCGTATGACCCTGAATCTTTCAGCTTCAC